CAATCCTAACTATTCTATGATTCTATGAATGCAAATTAATGCTCTTTCCATGAGCTAGTCTTTACAGAGAGACAGCAAAGGTCAGCTAAGCATGCAGACTGGAGAATTTCATGTTAACTATCATTACATTAATCTTAAAATGGCAGAACTATCATCTTCATGCCTCAGGATATGCAGAGTAATGTGTTATATTTTTACTTCTTTAACTGGCATCTCCCAGGAGAAAATTTCACCAAGCACCTTCTGTATCTGTGTATTTATCACAATACTACCTTTTCATAAGCTATTTTTTTAAATGTCTGCAACTTGTAAATAAGGAGCCTTTCATCTCTTAAAAAATAAACTGCGGATGTGCCTCTTAATCTCTTCTTACAGAAAGAAAATGCACACAAGACTTAGAGAAGTAAATCATTGTCAAATATAAAGCAGCAAACTTGCTTACTCCAAATAACAACTTCAGGAAACGAGCAGGAGAAAGGTGGAAAAAACTAGATTTCTGATAATTTAAATGCATGTCCTACTGAATGGTTCTTGTTATTGTCTAGATTTACAGTTTTTCTACCTACTAAAATACTGAAGCACAAGTTCGCATTTATAGTCATAACACAATGTCAAGCAAAACAACCCCACCCACCCTCAGCAAAGCATTTTTCATTACATTTCCAAAATACTGTCACACCTAACTTTTGACAAACTGTGTCACTTTTGTTGCGCCTCAGTCACATCCATGTGAAAAAGAAGTAACAAACCAGTAAGAATTTTTTCAGACAAAGGTTATTCCAGGTCTGGGCTAATTTGGAGATTAATTAAGAAGTGAGGTGTACAATAAAAGAAACAGGCTTCCTGCTTTGAGCATCACCAGGGGAGATGATACATTACATTCATGTTCGACTTATGAGCTCGTCGGCAGAGTCCTTCTACGCATTCCCTAAACATGAACCATGACTGCAAATACAAAGTGCTAATGAAGCACAGATTGTTCTACAGGAAATCTATTGGTCAGATCAGCACATGAAAGTGTGAAGCCATTTTCCAGTCTTCCAACTACGTCATTTGGTTCATCTCATCAGAAAAGTCAACATTCAGAGCACCTCAAGTTAAACAAGTACCTCAATATGTGGTGTTTCTCCCAGCTGTAGGTTATTAAAAATAGTTGCATAGTCCCCATTTAAATTCATCAGTTCCTCGTGACTTCCTCTCTCAGTAATGCAGCCTTCTTTCATGAAGATCACTTCATCACAGTCAACAAGATACTGGAGAAAAAGGCAGTAAGAACAAGCCTCTATCATTATGTCCAATCACACTCCCACACAATACTTCTCAGTAATTTATAGGCATCTGCATACAACACAGCTCTTCTGTAACAGACATCTAATATTCAAAGGTCCTGCATTGACTAGAGCACCATGATTACTCTCACCATATGCAAATAAAGTTTTTATGTTCTATTAAAGCCAATCTGTTATGGATGACACAATTCAGGATGCTTAAACATTGCAAATACTGACATACCAAGTATCAGTATTTCTATGCACAGAAGATGGGCGGGGAAAAAAAAATCTCAGATTACATCAATTCCAATTTACTGGTACCAAATCTAAGTGTTTTCTGATGTAATGAAGCTTTGAAGCAAGTTAGCAAAAGCATTTTTTTCTTTAGCCAAATGTTACCAGTCCCAGTCAGACACCAAGCAGCACTGGTATCAAATAAAGAATTAGATTGTGCTCCAGGCATATTTGCAAACCTAATTTGTAAACCATGCATCCTATAGGCAGACAGGATTGTGCTCTAACAGTTCAGGGCATAGAAATTTCCAGTATGAAGACAACTAACTAAACAACATTTCACGAAATTCAAAGAAAAAGTGAGAGATGTAATACCTGAAGCTGATGAGTGATGAAAAGGACAGTCTTTGACTTCAGGTGCTTCCTTATTGCACTGTTAAAAATGTGATTTCCAACATGAGCATCTAAGGCACTAAGGGGATCATCAAGGATGTAAATGTCCCTGTCACTGTACAGGGCTCGAGCCAGACTGATTCTCTGACGCTGTCCTCCACTCAGGTTAGCCCCTCGTTCACCAATCTGTACAGATACACACCCGTTATTTTATTTCTACAGCACCATGCAACATAGATACTCAAGAGCTCAAGAAGTGACTGGGATGAAGCAGTCCATAGGATTTTTATTTATATATGTGTACATGCACACACCCCCATAATATATACATATATAGTATTAAACCAATATATAATATTCTACTTTAGGCGTCCACTTCTTTGTGAAATGTGTTATACATTTAAACTCATGGTTAGTATGCTTGAGATGTGGCAGTATTTTGCTTATTTTACCTTCTTGTATTAATAAATCCATGCTTTTTTTCCTTAGCTATTTTAAATCACGTTCAAATAGGTCCTGTTAAGGCATTTAAATTTACAACACAAAAACTCTCAAACATCAATATCTGAGTCAAAAACATGGCACAACTCTCAACAGCCAATGGCCTGAACTGATAAGTTCAGCTCAAGATAGTACATTCAACAATTTGGCTTACATGCATACCAGACTGATGTTCTCCCCACTCCAGTCTAGTCTGCCAAACCAAAACTGCTTTCTCCATCAACTAATTACTATAAGCAAAATTTGTACCTCTGTCAGGTCCCCATTTGGAAGGATGGCTAGGTCAGGCCTTAGACAGCAACCATTCAACACCGTATTGTATCTAAAGAACAAATAGATAAATAGTAAGAACATGGGTTTTTATTAGCTAGCACAGCATTATCTCACTTTCTAAACTAATAGCAAACATACCAGCAGCCTAAAACAAATGATCTGCCTTGAATTCCCAGGAGGAAACTGAAGATAATAATTAATCAACTGCCTAGTAGATTCACAGAAGATGCCAATACATTGCAAGCAGCAGTTGTGTTTAAAGAAGGAAAGACCAGGACAGCAAGAGCAAATGACACTGCAGTGCTGCTCCACAGAGGCTGCTGAAAACAGAGGTCAGACAGTACTCCAGCAGGAGGTACAGCCCTCACTGCAAATGAGCAATGACAGACATGCTCACAGCCATCAGCCATAAAAACCACGTGCAAGAGAGACATGCTCTTAAATGAGACTTAAAGAAGTCTTAAAGACAGACTCTAAAAGGATACATAGGCTTTAACTGCAGTACATTCTGCATTAAATTTTCTCACATTTGAGCCAAGAACTAGGAAGTTTTCATGAAAATCAGCAAACAGTTCTGACAAACCTTTCTTCATCATATTCCTTGCCAAAAAGAATGTTGTCCCGAAGTGTAGCATTGAGAATCCAGGCCTGCTGGGCCACATATGCAAACATTCCACTTACTGCAATGCTACCCTCCAACAGGGTCATCTGAAATTAAAGATGAAACTGTGAAATTACACTATTCCATGTTTAGAATAGACTTTCTTCTACAGACAAATAAGTGAATTAAGACGATAGAGAAGAACAGAAGTAGTCAAAACAGGAATTCTCACCTGTCCTAAAATGGCTGAGATAAGTGAAGTTTTTCCACTCCCCACACTGCCACAAATTCCAACAAGTTTTCCCTAGACAAAGAAAAAATGAATTATGGTACTTATTCCTTACATAATCCACCCTTTTCAGAATTTGGACTACCTTTTGTACCTCTGAGGGAAAAGCTGGACATTAATGACAGCTAAAAAGGAACATAACAGACAAAAAAGCAAGACGGTATTTTACCTCTTGAATAATAAAGGGTGAATAAAGTGGACTAAGACCACATCAACTCTACAGGTAAAAACTGATGTATTTTAAGGTCAGCTTCCCTTTGAGCCTGATACAGGCCCAGAAAATGCTGCAGTCAGACAAAAGCACTAAAGCCTGCCTGAACAGAATGCACCAAGATGCTTTTGAGAGTGGTAAGGGAAAATATAAAGAGGGGAAAGACTGAAAGAAAAGCAGAACTTAGGATATATGGGTCCAGTAAAGCTCTTTGCCTATGAGATGCAGTTTGCCAAGCAACACATACCAAGAAAAGCCTAGAGTCCAGTCACTTTGAAGTATTTCTCTGAAATAAAATGGATGGGTTGATACCCATATTAATCAGTGAATTAATCAAAACTACGTACATTTTTGTGTAAAAAAATGTAAAGCAGACAAAAAGGGTATATATAGTCACCTGTAGAATAAATTGCTGTGCCTCTTCTCATTTACAAGCTTCTAACAGAAAAATAGCCTTTACATTTTCAAGTAATTGTATATTCCTTTTCCAAGGCCGTTTTTTAAACTACAGCATCCTCCTCAAAATTTAAAATATAGTTTTTTTAATAGCTTAAAATAGTTTAAACTATCTCTCTACTCATGTGACTACAGAAGACAATTTAACCATAAATACCCTGATAAGTGCATGGAACCCATTACTACAACATCCAACTGCCAAACTGCAAAACTTTTATATTTGTAGATGTCATGTATTAAATTCAATGCTTTTTCTTTGACATTTTACATGTTTTTACCCATCTTAGAATGAGGACTCCAACCACTTTTAAATTCTTGAAAATCTGTGTCCTTCTACTGTACAAAAATTCTCCAGGAAGAAAATTGCATGTTCTTCAGTTAAAAAAGCTGTTAGGCTCCATTAGAACACCTAATCACCTAAAATGTTCACCCAGAACATAGCTGAAACACTGCCAAATTATCAAATGGCTGCAGAAACACACCATCTACCAATACCCCACTGATAACCCTGTTGCTCTGCTGATTCTTTAAGCTAAATGGTTCATGTACTGTACAGAGAGCTACAAAGAACAAAACCATCAGATAGATCTGAAAGCTATACAACCTGCAGTTGTTTCATAGGCTGCTTGCAAAGATCTAATTTGCTAAAATGGCACAGCTGTTTACAGCAAGATCAAACTCTGCATCCTTGATACTGCAGTTGCCATGGATATTACAGGAGTGCACAAAAGCAATGTGCTCCATTTCATGCAAAAATACAGTGCTCTATTCCAAGGGACAGCTAAAAATGAGGCCTTTTGAAAGGTCAGATTTTCTCCTTTCTTCTCTTACCTTTTCTATCTCCAAGTCAATGTTGTACAGAGTCCTCTGAAGCCGAAGGTTAACGAGGTGGATAATTTTGTTCTCCTCTTCGGGGCTAGGATGGTCATCACTGTCCACTAGAAGATGGCCCTTCTGCTCTGCCAGCACAGCTTGCTGTCCCTCATTCTGTAGCTTCATTTTCTCTTTCTTGCTCTTGGCGACTTTCTTGTCTTTTTTCACTTTGGGGGTCAACTTTGGTGAGCTCTGGACGCTGGCGTGGGAGAATTCCCAAGCCAAGGTAGCATTTTTCACCTCTATCGCGGTGTGAGGATTGGCTGGTTTTTTCTTTATCATATGAACCTCTTCCATTAGAAATAAACTCTGATAGGAGTTGTGAGAGAGGTGTAAAGATGAGACACCTGATCAAGACTGGAAGACAAGCCTATGGCACACTCACGCAGCAAAACACATCAGGCTATACAGTAGGAGGAAGCTGAAGAGCAAAAGGTAGCTCATTAGTGTCAACTAACTCCAGGC